AAATAATGGAATTTGGAAACGCATTTTTATTTTTTTATAAATATAACCATAGAAAAAGGTCGGTTTATTAATTTGAGATATGTTGCGTAGTTTTAATGGATTTTGATTGGGAAAAAATATCAAGTGGGTGTGACTATGACAAAATGAAGACTGTATAAATTAAAGTGAAGCACTGCAGGTTATGGCGGTTATAATCCATAACTCTATTTTATAGGTTAGTATAAAATAAAATTATCCCACTCATCTTGTTAACTTGTTATGATTGTACTATACCAGATTTGCTACTTACATTCTTCTTCCTCCTTTTCATCCTCGTCATCATCATCGTCGTCTCCAATTTCCTCATCACTACCCTCGTCACCTTCCTCATCCTCATCAAATTCTTCATCGCCTTCATCTTCGTCAAGATCATCATCACCGTCATCCTCCATTTCGCTTGCATCAAAAGCACCTTCTTCACCATCTGACTCGCCCGATTCACCACCACTACCAAAGATGGCATTGAAACGTTCCTCATCCTGCTCTTCATCACTCCATGATGGTTCTTTGTTTTGTTTCTTAAGTTCTTCCTTTCGCTTTTCTTTGAGCAATTTCTTTTCTTCCTCCTCCTCATCGTCCAGACACAGCTCCAAAGCAAAGTCCAGACCATCATTGAACATTTTCCTAACCAAACGATTTTTATTTTTTGTTTTATTCAGACCCAGTTTTTTCTCCAGCTTGGCAATGATCTTGTCCTCTTCCTCATTTTCCAATTTCAATTGCTTGATACGTTGTTTACGTGATGCATTCTCTAATTCCTTTTGCTTTTGTAGTTCACGTCGATGCTGATCTTCAATATTGGGACGATTTGTTGTTTGGGGTTTGGCTTTCTTAATCGGTGGTTTGTTGGGTTCATCATCGACGGAACGTTTGGTTTTAAATGAATTGGGTAGCCGAGCATTAACTTCCTCGTCAGAAAAATCGGAATCTATAGATTCATCATTATCCGAATCAACATCGCCCGACAAAAGTTGCTCCAATGGTATATCCTCAGGATTTACAGTGGGTTTGGATTTTTTGGTTTTCGGTTTCTTTGTACCGTTTTTGTTTTTAGTTAATTTTTGTTGTTTAGCTTCTGCAACCAGCTTTTTACCCTCCGTTTTACTGGAGAAAAATAAACGTTTGTTTTGCTTCTTTTCCTCGGATTTTTGTTTGCGAATTTCTTTGCGGCTCAGTTTTACTGGACGAGGTGCTTTTGATTTGCCTTTTTTAAGCTTTCCCATTTTTTATTATTATTTAAAAATCGAAGTAATTAAGATTTTATTTTACCACTAACAATTTTTACTTCAAACAAACCAAGGAATAAGAAAGACAACAATAACAGCTGTTCATACACGTGCACAAAACAGGGCTGCAAAGTTGGGCATGCCAGCCGGTTACTACTGTTTTAAGCAATGCAGCGAACAGCTGATCGCCTGTGAGCAAACAAAGTTTTCTCAAATTAGTTTAACAACAATTGCAGAGGTTTTCCCTCTAACTTATAGAATTATTAATCAAAATTACTTGGGAAAACACAAACAGATACACATAAAACATGTCTACTCGTTGGTATCCCCTTTATCAACGCGGCAATCCCCAGCTGCGCGTTTTCCTGCCCAATTTCTGGATGAAACTTATTAGGCCCAGTGAACCCCAACCCAAAAATGTTGTTACCTTTTCCGTATCAATGGAAATGACCAAATACGATGTGAAAAACTATTTGGAAAAGATTTACAAAGTCCCTGTAATGGATGTAAGAACACGCATTGCATTGGGTTCGACCAAGCGGGATACTACCTATGGATATGTGACCAAAAATGATGATATGAAACTAGCTTATGTAACATTGGTAAGTTTTTGACAATATGCTCTCCAATTACCTGAGTTTTTCTTCATATTTTGAATTGATTCTTTTACAGCCAAAGGAAATGGAATTTACGTTCCCCGATATGTTCGAGAAGAAAGATGATGCCAAGAAGGCCGATGAAAAGGCAATGGAAGATACTAAACAAGGTTTTAAGAAATTCTTAGATCGAAATAAGAAACGTCCTGGAACACCAGGCTGGTATTCGATTTAGTTGTTAAATCCAGTCAGTATATACAAATAAAATAGTATAAGTGAACAATTAACTAGGAATAATAATGTTTGTTCGGAAATCTCTTATACTTAAAGAGGCATTATGTATCATTATGCAAATAGTAAGAGTGGGGGAAATTATAACTAACGGATGCCTACTATGACTTTGATGCGTTTTAAAATACGGATAAATCATGTATCAGGGACCTAAATATTAAGGGATTACAATTTGGATTGCAAAAGTGGACGGATAGGCTCCATCTAAGCGATTAGAATTTTATACAAATATTACGATGGTCCAAAAGGTTTTGCACTTGATACATTTTTTAAAAGATATTTGTGATGTACAATGCTTGGATTAAAAAAAATTGACCCATTATGTGGAATATGACAGAAGGAGTGGTATGATTGCATCTATCATCGACATTTTGTCCAATGTTTTGACGGGCATTTCCAAAATGTTCAAAGGCAAGTGGGATTTATGTGATATGTTTAGACAAATTTCGTATGGTAGCAAAGCGTGCACACACTGGTTTAGATCGGATAGAAAATACATAATTTTGAATTGTCTTAAGAATTATTCTGGCACTTTGGTCGTGCAGGACATAAAACGCCCCAAATTATTTCCATTATAGTTGTGAGTTTTTCAATGAATATTTTTAGCTTATTTTGTCTTATACCCATCGTGTTAACATTTACTAAACAACATCTTAAGTGGCAACATTATTCAATGTTTAAAATTTTATTAATTTCAGGTATTATTTTTCTTCAAAAATTTACAATCTAAATTGAATTAAAGTCATTCGCACTCAGTCAGTCCGTCATCAATCAAATATCTGTAATAAATCTCGCGCTCTTTGATATTTGACCGAATTAACCAATCCCTGACGTTCTTCTTCGCTTTCCTTTGCTTCACATAGTTTATCGATTTCATCGATAACATCATTTGCCATTTTAATGACTTTTTCCTTTGCGGCACCTTTACTGCCAGCCAAATACTCTAAGGCTATATTCCAATATTCGCCATTTAAGATTTGTTCATCAAACATGCTCTGCTGTATTGAGATTTGTCGCAGCTTTTCGAATTTCCATTCATCACGACATGTTTTCCATTTTTTAAGATATTCTTCATTGCGTTGCTTCTCCTTCTCCATAGAATGCTCCTTTTGGGCTTCCAAAAGCTTTTGACGTTTTTGTTTTTTCTTTTGACGTCCCGTAATTATGGCTAATGTATTTTCTGGTTTTTCACATTCTTTTAGTTGTTCCAAAGTGGGTTGCATTGTTCCATCTTCATCATCGTCACCACCATCTTCGTCATTATCATGTTGATTTACCTCGTGCTGTTCATCATTATCGTCGCTTTCAACAGCTGTGTTGTGTGATTTAGAACGTTTCTCCTTGATGGCACCTTTATCTTTGTTCTTACGCTTCTTTGTTTTCTTTGAAATCACTGTGTTTAAATATTAGATATATGATTATAATTAATAATTTTGCCATTGCTTTAAAAATAGTTTATTTTTCTATAATATATATGTATATACTATGTACATGGGGTATGTATTATTTACCTTGATCATGTTGGTCTGTGGCGATTTCTGTATCTTGTGATGGAGCTGTACTCTCCAAAATTAGACTTTTATTCGCTACCTCATCTTCATGTTCCACACAGGAGTTTTTTCTTTTTTTAGCTTTTTGTTTTTTAACGGGTGGTACATCTAATTTAGCCATTTGTTTAATTATTCTTTTTAATGTTATTGTTAATAGAGTTGTGTCGTTCACGAATGGACTAGTTCAAAGAAATTATTCTGTGAGATGAACGAAAGGAACCATTTCTGGCTCATTGATTTATTTAGCTCTTTTAGATCATATGGTTCAGTAATGTAACGTTTCACTATATGTTAAAATAACTTTGAAGAAAATATAACCTTTTTTAAGCCTTAATATATATATATATATATATTTATAAGAAAAAAATATATTATAAATATAGGATAAATAGAATTGGTGAACATCTTCCTTATTTTTTAATCTAGTATGTGGTCAAAAATAGCCGACTTTCCGAAAAACTTTTTTCAAACTTCCGCCATTTTGTTAATTTTTGAGCGAAGTCAATAATCCTAGTTCATACGAGAGCCAGACATGTACTCTTTCCGTTAGAATTTTCGAATTCCGGGCATGATAACTCTTCACTGGATGAGTTATCATGCCCGCCATCAAAAATGAGGATTTTTTTTTATCACAAAAAAACCCCAAGAAAACAACAACAAAACTTTGTAAATTATTTGTCTTCTCTTTTAAATCTTCAATAATATATGTGCAAAGCTACAAACCTTAACAAGCATTGGTATTCATTTACCAGCCCATTGAAAATCTTGAAAATTTCAAATCGAGGATGGGGGGTCCCCTTAAAATACATTTACATATACGATTTTAAATCGACTCGATTAATGAAATCCTGAAATACCCCCTAATTGTTTACACATACCTTTAATCAAGATCTGAATGCCGATTAGCTGATGTTTATTAGTATACATACAAAATTATTAATTTGCGCCAAAACTATTAGCTTGCAATTTGAAAATAAACGGAAGAATTACAACAATGGAAATGTTTTTCAATGAAAAAGTTTTTAACACGTTCGTCTGAAGGTAATTACTTTGTTATGGATGGAACAAACATTTGATGGTATTCCCTACTGGATTTTGGAAAGAAATCATAACCTTACATTCATTTTTCGCGTTTTTAGTTTTGTGTTCAAAAAATTTCAAATAAACACAAGCACTTGTTGCGTATATTTATTTTATTTTTGGCAGAAGAAGCCACACGTGCATAGTTGCTTTTTTGTTATTCACCTCAAGTTGCCCTACCTTGTATTATTGTACCATGGTAGTATCATGATTTCGATCATGATTTAAAATAAACCATGCCGCACGATGATTTAAATTTGATATGATAAATCGTGGCGAATTCAGCCTGATCAAGAAAATAAACCCTGATTTAGCCTTTAATCGTGATTACAAATTCGCTTTAATACCTTGATTTACCATACACAAATTAAACAATTTGCTTATATCAAATACAACACTACTTTTGAACCGAAATATACAGATTGTAATACCTTTTCTAAAAGTATCAAAATAAAGGGTTACCTATTTCGTGATTTCAAAAGTATGGGACTGGAATTCAACATCAGTCAAACTAAGATGTTAATCGGGCGTGCTTTAAGAGGATATTGTGGATTATAAAATCTTCCAACTACCCAAGCAATTGGCAAACCTGTGAAGAAATTTACAAATATTGTAAAGCCTGTGCATCATATTTTCGCTGAAAATATCACTGTTTTAAGTGAAAATGTTGTCGAAGTTCCGATTGTGTCGATTCCACGTCGTTCTAAGGATTTGGAATTGTCTTACCGAACATTATGGAATATTTTGCATTTCCAGACTCCATATAAAGTCCAGCTCACGCAAAAACCGAAACCAGCTGACCATTCACACAAATACTGGAATGGGTGCTTGAGCCAAGTTTTGGAATTGTCTTACCGAACATTATGGGATATTTTGCATTTCCAGACACCATATAAAGTCCAGCGCACGCAAAAACTGAAACCAGCTGACCATTCACACAAATACTGGAATGGGTACTTGAGCAAATGACAGTAGACTAAATTTTTTCGAACAAAATTTCCTTCCAATAAACAAAATTTGAAGTGAGGCAATTACATCCAGAAAAAGTGATTGGTTTGTGGGCTCTTTCGTCCGAAGATTTGATTGGATCCTTCTTCTTCGAAATCGACTATAGAATTACTGTCACTGTCAATTCGGAGCGTTTTGGTCATATGATAACCGACTTTTTGGCAGCTATTGAAGAACACGAATTGGACAATATGTGGTTTCAAGAAGACGGTGCCACATGTCACACAACTCGAGCGAATGTGGTTTTATACCAAGAGACATTTTCTAGCCGTGTAATTTATCTTCGTTTCGAAATCATCTGGCCACCAAGATCATGCTTTTTGGCACCATTATGAGGCTACGCGAAGTACTATGTTTACGCAGAGCACTTAAAAACTAAAGTTTATCAAATTATGGAGGAGATACCTCTCAAACTTTATAAAAAAAAGGATATCATGAAAGATATGTATGTGGTTTTTTTATTCGTTCCTTCCTAACATTCCTTCCTTGATTTTCATTCAAATGTTCGTGAAAACATCACTTTCAATTTAAACTCCAACACTGGGTGGTTCAAACAAAAATAAATTCATTACAACTTATTATCATCATCATATGGCAACACGTTGCCTTTCATCCTTTTTCAAGTTTAATTCGCGACTTGTTAATTCAACCCTGATTTTGGCACATATGGTTCCTTTTGGGCAAAACAACAACAACATCAACAACAACAAACAATCCCCCCAAAGTTGGAGCATAAAGGAATAGTAAAAATAACAAAATAGCCAACGACGCCGTCTGTGTTCTTTAAAATAATTAAAATAAATCATAAGATTCTGAATACTAATAAAAGTTTTTTGAGAACTAAATGTTTTAGAAGTGTTCGCGAGTGCGTGTTTAATGGAAATTTGTTGAAATAAGTTATTATTAAATGGAGTATTTGTGAGTTTAAATGAAATAAGAAAACCACCTGATCCTTTGCAAGGTTTTTTTTTGCGAGAGTGTCTAATCTTACAAGTGTAATTTATTGTTAATATTTAAGAAATTATTAGCTGAAAGGTAAGTTTGTTAGGTTTGTCGTATTTAATTAATTAAAAGCAGCAGTGGGTTTTAGTAAAGTTTAAGAGAATTGTGTTAGGAAAAAATAAATATCACGTGTTAATTGCGTCAAATTGTGTTAAATGAAAATTATCCGTGTTTGTGTGTGCGTGCGTGTTTGTGCATATGCTCTGGCATCTTTGTTGTTCTAATGTGGATGACCTTATTATCCTTGTTGTTGTTGTTGTTGCTCCATCAGCAGCATCAATTAGAATTCGGTCAAGGCCACCACAATGTGTAAATCGTTTACGTCGTCTGTCGGTATTTTATTCGCGTGAAATAAATCGTTTACCGACGATAAATGTATGCTGGATAATTTTTGTGAAGCGAACGGGAGTACCTCAACGGATTCATCATATTAAAACAGGTAAGCCATTAGATTTTGATGTTTTACAATAACTAATAATGTAGGTGGTTTTATTAATTATATATGTTTATAAAAAACGCATACATCTGTATATTAATTTTTATTTAATATTTAAATTAAGCGTTTTTATGTGGCAAAATAAGTATTTGAAAAAATTGCCGGCTTTACTCTAGTTTAGTAAAAACGATCAGATTTTTCGGAAAATTTTCCCAGATGTTGGTATTTTTACCCTACCCTAATTATGGGAAAATATATTTATACCCTTCGCCACACTGTGGTTCAAGTTATTATGTCTTTGTGCATATGTTTGTAACAGGCAAAAGGAATAGAGATAGACCCATGGTTGCTTTTGAGAATATGCTTAGAATCACTTTCTGAGTCGATTTACGTATGTCCGTCCAAGTACTTTTGTTAACAAAGTACAGGTCGCATTTATTATCCGATTTGGATGAAATTTGGCATAGGGCACTTATTTGGCCCAAGGACGAACCCTATTGAAATTGGAAAAAATCGGTTCAGATTTAGATATAGCTCCCATATATATTTTCGTCCGATTTAATGTAAATGGTGCAACAAAGTCCCTATATATCATTCGATTTACACGAAATTGTGTATAACCTACTGAATTAAGTCTAGAATGATGTGCGCTAAGTTTCGTAAAAATCGGTTCAGATTTAGGTATAGCTCCCATATATATATTCGTCCGGTTTTATGTAAATGGCGCATCAAAGTCCCTGAAAATCATTCGATTTGCACGAATTTCGGCACAACGTACTGCATGAAGTCTAAAATGACGTGAGCTAAGATTCGTGAAAATCGGTTCAGATTTAGATATAGCTCCCATATATAGTTTCGCCCGATTTTAGGTAAATGGTGCACCAAAGCCCCTGCAAATCTTTAGATTTTCACGAATTTTGGCATAGCGTACTAAATTTAGTCTAGAATGATGAGTGTTAAGTTTCGTAAAAATCTGTTCAGATTTAGATATAGCTCCCATATATTTTCGCCTGATTTAATTTAAGTTTTTAATTTTTCACGAAATTTGACATAGCGCACTGAATTGAGTCTAGATTTATTTGTGTAAAGTTTACTGAAAATTGTCCGATTTTAAGATCCAAAGTTTGGCCGATTGCCACACAATTTAGCATAACGTACAATTTTGCACAACGTATTTAGATATAGCTCCCATATAGTTCCGTGCGATTTTTAGTAGGATCCAAGGATCCAAAATATGTCCATTAGGAACAAAACGTGCTGAAATTAATCCAACCTAATCTGTGAGAAATTTCGTTCATATTTGGATATTGCTTCCATATATATTTTCATCCGATTTTAAGTAAATGGTGCACCAAACTCTTCATGTTTTTTTTCAGAATATAATAACGTAATCGCGTGTAGAAGTAAAGATATAGCCCATATATATTTCCAACCGACTTCGTGTTAATTGGGCTCCAAATATTCAACGGGTGCCCGATTGATATTTGCTTTAAATCGATTTACATAATTTTGTCCCATTATAACGAACAAATGACATGTCTATGGATTGATCTAAGTCGGTTCACGTTTAGATAAATGTCACATAATTAAGCTCA